TTTGCTAGTGGATTAGGGGTGGTGGTTTCACCCCATGTCTCTCTCCTGGTAATCTCTAAATATATCTATATACACATGTAGAAACCACCTACGGGAAACTGATCAGCAAACCTCAAGGACTTTCAATTCATTCTTTTGAAACTTTGACTCTCTCTCTCTCTCTTCTTGCTGACCAGTCCAGATAGTTCCTGCAAATCTTAACCCCTCGCATCGTTGTTGAGCCTCAACCCACCAGGACCATGCTGGGAGCTCGTCTTCAGCTACGTCGGGTCGAGGTAACCGAAGACTCGGTACCCCCGAGGTCGATGTCGCCACGTCTTCCACTTCCAAGTGTCTGAAATAATCGCCCACACAAATCCGTGGGAAACTCCGGGACTGCACGTTTCACCAGATCCTGTGGACACGACACGTCAGACGTCCGACGTCCCGGACACGACAGAAAGCGACGGCGTATGGGTCAGGCAACCTCCTGCCCCTCTTTTCGACTCTGGGGAGGTCTTGGGATGGAATGGGTACAGACGGGTCAAGGAAAATACCCCAGTGAAAGAAAAATCACTGCCCAAATGGGCCCCAACGACCCCACGTTTGAGGAGAACAGTCCATCAAAGACCAACGATACACGGAGTAAGACCATGTGTACAATAGAAAGTTAAAGGTCCTAAATTTGGGCGGTCCATAGAGAGATGAGAGGCTTGGAGCTTAGGAAAAAACAATGTAAGATTGGGCGTTGAAGTTGCTTGAGGATGGGAAAGGTCTCCATGGACTGGTGAGAAATGTGCCCAGGACCGATGGTGAATCAAGAGCAATACACCTCGAACAACCGGATGTTCTGGATGAAGTTTATTCAATCTGATGTGCGTTTACAAAATCGAGATTATAAATTACTTCAGGCAACCTTCCCCAAGGACCTCGTTTCTACCAGCCTGGTTCAGTTTGCTTTGGCCCCTAATTCCAAGGCCCAAAACCCCAAGATAGTGATCCCCAATAGGCACCAGGTGCCAGGCACGAGGTGCCAGGCATGATTTCCAATAGATTTTCTACGTGAGGATCTACAAACTTCTACCTGAACCCTTTATCCCCAGCCACATCCCGACCGACGTCACGTCACATCCCGACGGTGAAGTTGCCCAGGCAGGTTGGAACTGTCGGATTTCGACCTCCTTCTGCCCCCTGACAAAATGTGAACGAACATCAAACGAATAGCCTTTCCTTCATTAAGTGGGGGACCCAAGATTCCAGGCATCATCACATGAGTCTGAAATGGCGGATTCCGGCCGTGTCCGGCTGTCCTTGAAACTGTCCAAATCCACTTTGGCCTCAGCCCGATTGGCACAGAATCAATCAAAAGCGGCTCGAAGCTAGAAACTGCGAACGGTCGAACACCTTAGTTCTATAGGGGCTTACCACGTGTTTTAACGTAGCGCGTGGTATGATGCGCTCCCAGGTGATATACAGCATCAAGAATAACAAAGACTTTGGCCGCCGTGAGAACTCTGGCTGGCTGCCTTCATTCCCGGCTGGATCAAGGAAATCCTCCGCGTGGAATCCAGCATGGTGGTGTGGCCAGAAGCGAGTCGCCCAAAAGGAGTTCCTGTTTTCGGTGGCGGAGTGGAGAAATGGCAGAGAAAACCGGTTTGGGGGGAGTTCAAATTTCAGGCCAAAGCCATGTACTGACATAAACATGGTAACTTCAATCATTTTGATCTCCAAAACAGAGTTCCCCATGTCCATCAGCTCTGTTGTAAACATGTCTGATTGACAATCCCCTCCACACCATCTTCGATTGTCCTGAAGTTCCCTGCAGCCCAGGTGCAGGCTGCTTGGGATTGCGACGCATGTCAGTTACCTCTTTCCGTAGACGCTCAATTTCCTGGGCGGATCTAGGATGACAGGATTCTGTTTCAACGTCGAAACAGAACATGGTTTTGGTAAGGACGCTAGTAGTAACAAGTGCCACGCTAGTAGTGACAGGTGCCCTACTAGTAGTAACAATAAGCTAGGTTTTGGTTGTTTCATGCATGGAGTAGAATTTGTATTGGAACCCTTCACTTCCTGTACCATTAGAACTCGTTTCTAGTTGTCTTTGCATCATGTTTCTACTTTTCTATCAACCGTTTGTTATGTTGTGTTAGTTCGTAGTCGCTACCCGGAACAACTTTGTTTTGATGTAAGATAAGAGGGTGCTCTTGCTCCTCCAAACTGGGCCATCTACACCTCAAGATGATTTTGGCACCTGAATGCCCTTGATTGGCTTATTATATATACAAATATATTACGTTCCGGACAAAATCTGGTGTCTGGCCTACGGGCATCGCCCAGAATGGGTCGGCCTTTCATGAATGATGCAGGTTTTCTGGGTCAGGTATTCACTCGTTCCCAGCCTCCACGCTGAAGTGCGTGCGCTGCGCCAAGGTCATCAGTTGCTCGTCACCTTGCTGTGGTGACCGTTGTGGTGACCTAACACTGCCTGTGCAATATGCCTTAACAGTCTAACAGATACTAACAGCATGTAATAATCATAATAATCTAATTGGTGAATTTGACGATCAACGTTGATGCGCTCAACATTGGGACTTGGTCAAAACAGAGCGCTGAGCAGCGGAGCAGCGACTTCATGAAAGTGGACTGAACAACTGCCTGTGGACCGAACTCGTCATTGATTCCTACAGACTTTCCTACACACTGCGCTGCAACCCTCAACCGCGACTTGGACCCATCTCCACATGTTCACACGAGAATCCATGCTTCTCAGAATCCACAGGCGGTTTGGATCCCCCTAAGTTTGAGGAGTTTCCAGTGGCAAAGGGTCGGTCAGATTTTGTTTGAGATCGCGAAACCTGAAAATGGTTCTCCCTTTGCACGGGGAGGGGTGTCCAAAAATTTGTGGTCCGTCAGTCAGAAGCCCCAAACGACCTTCGTGTCAATCCAGGTGCAGTAGGTAGGGTCTACCCGGTCAAATCCATCTCCTATCATCGAATTCCCCATCAAAGGTCTGCAAAGTTATCACAAAACTGGGATTTGTAAGCAAGAAGCAGAATCACGAGAAGGCAGGATTTCTGTGTGGATTCCGTGTTTCACCATCTTGCTCTTTACCCCAAAAAACAACAAACGTCTGGTTCTCCGGCAGCGACTGGGCGCTCCGGACAATTCCCAGCACAGTCTGCGATGGCCTGCTTTCGCGATCGCACGTCGTCCCAAAGGCCTGGGCGAAATGAAACGAGGTGCTGGGTGAAAAGCCACAGGCAGTGAGGCAAAGCTGTGTGTGTGTGTGGGTGTGTGGCCTGGTGCTTCTTAAATGAAGACCCAGTCACACAGTAGTCTTTGGCTTGTCGGCCAAGCAAGCAAAGTGGATTTGGCATGATTTGGCTGATGGTGCAGGTCTTCTTTGCAAATGGATTTCAGTGGTATGAAAAAGTTGTGGTAGGGGATGGTTTCACTTTCGGGTCATGGCAATCTGGAAAAAGCCTGCTCCTACTCGTCACAGGGCCTGCAAAGACCATGCATTCACATGATTTCACCCGCTGGTTGAACAATGTCCACGAACTGGCAAATCATGGTGAATCGATTTATGTCGAACTGCTTGATTGACCAGTGTGAGACCTGGATCTCCCTCTTTTTTTGGACAAGTTCCCTCCTCCTCAAACAAATATGAATCATGCTGCCATCCCAATTAGCAAACAGTTTCTTTTCTGTGAGGCGTCACTTTCTGTGCACACTTAAAGGATCTTAAAGGCAATTATTATATATGTAATACTGTACTATGTAGTACCACATGTAACATGTAGTAATTGTATACTATACATAATGTAGTACATGTCCCCCCCAAAAAATACCGAACTGGCTCGTCTTTCACAGTGCTGAAGCAACGATGAAAAAGGAAAAACACCGAGTGCCCGGGCATTGAAAGTCCTCGGCCTCTTCGGCCTCTGGCCACCAAGGCAAATCAGGCGGTGCGCCGCTTGGCTGGAATTCTTGGGGGGCTTCTTCCAAGGGCTCCTTCAGGAAAGAAGGAATGAACAGACAAGACACAAGTTATCCCGGCGAGAGACCCCAAACAGGGTGCTTAACTATTACCGTAAGAACCCCTAGTGTGTCCACACTGTTTGAGGAACAATGCTCCACAACACTCTTGTTCAAGTGAAGGCAGAGATGTTTCATCACTGTCGTGAAAGGTGGCTCCGACAGCTTCTTTATGCATCTGAAGACGGCCCTATCTGTGTGTCGTTTGATTTCCGTGGAAAGCAATCTGTCCAAACCTCGAAAGGGATTTGATTGCTTTTCGAAGCCCGAAAGTCAACACCTGACTGGTGAGGCGGTTCTTGAAGCATACTCTTCGGCTACATCCTATCACCAACCATAGTAAAGAATGATGGGTAGTTCTGCCTTGTATGAACACATTCAGAAAGTTATGCTGACAACTATTATAGAATTAAAGAGGTTAGAACACATGCTATGTCTGATTCATTGATGCCGATGAACTTGCGCAAAGCCTACGAAGTGGCAATCTAGAAGCTTCCAGGAAGGTTGCTAAATGGTACGGACACCCTCTGGAAGCATCTGGAACCTAATTGCATCGATACTTCTCCATATGCCTGTCCTTCACAAGCTACACGCTCTGCGCATCTGAGCCCATCACAAGCTCCGAGAGGATTCGGGTGAAACTCAAGAAGAAGTCATTGTCCTCCAGCAGCGCAGGAAGCATTCAACACACTTGGATGGGCACTGGACCTGAAGTAAACCTAAGTGAAAACCAATTTGGAAGCTAGAAAAAGCGTCCTCTTAAAAAAGATATGATTTAGCTTTTTAGCCTCCAAATGTAGGCTTTTGTGTTGGTTGAACAGGAGCAAGATTTCACGAAATGCAAGATGCCACTCACACGTTTCATCGTCTAAATGTAATTATCGTATATAGCAGAGATCCCTGAGTGATGTCGTTTCAAGCATAATATTAATATAGTAGTGATGCCGCGTCAAATATCTTCGTACAAATATGATCCAGGAGGGACATTCAATTGTCAGGGGAAGTTGAGATCCATTTACTGTATTCTCCACAAGGGTCAATGCAAATGCACACAATTGCGCATGACATCAGTTTCACCATGGCGCGTAGCTCCGCAGGGGCTTGGTGAATTGTATCTAATTGAGAATGAAGGCAGTTGGATGTGTTCAATGAATTCATCAGCTTCCTGGCCCAGTAGAAGAATTAATCACCCGCATTTCGGCTACCGCACCCGAACTGCTTTCTCAACCACCCCCAGCTCTGCCAGCTCCAGAGCTTCCCATCCCTTCCCGTCCCATCCTGTGAAGCAAACCCCGAACTGCTCCCGCTCTCTCTCCGATTCGGCCTTCTCCTCTGGCCACTTCTCAAAGATTTGCTTCATGGTAACGATGAGCTCCGTGGCCTCTCACATTCCGGACCGAGGCAGGTGTGGCGCCTTTGTGGACGTGACGGGGCCTGGCGGGGGGATTCACCGGAAAAAGCACGAAAGCGAGGGAGGTGAAAGAAATTCACAGGCACAGTGGTTTGAAAGTAGTGAAAGTAGATGGCGCTGGCACCCCAAGATGTCCTTTAGATGGGAGTCTAATGGAGTCTATACAAATCCCCTTTGGGGGATTGTGCCATCTACTCTGAAACCACTGTAAATGGAAGATCTTTCTGACAAACCATTGACTTCATCGTTATTAGGCCATCCCTGGAGTACTCAATAGGTTCGTTTTCTTTTATTAGTTTGCTTGGGGAGTACTTGGTTGCAGCTAATCTTGATTTTCTGGGTTCTGCTCTACAATTATCTGGATTCAGTTGGAGAAGTTGGAAAGAACCGCATTTCGTTGTCATTGCTATACCAAGTTGTATCAACATCTGTTAGATTTCCACAGTTGTAAACTAACCTACATCCAATATAGAAGCATATAACAAAAACCAACACATATTCCCATGAGCCCCAGCTGTTTCCCCTATGCAGCCGCGATGTTTCACACCACGCCTCCAAGGCCAGCACCTCCGGGTCCGACACCTTGGACAGCTCGCGTAACCGTTGGAGCTCCTGGAACAACACCGCACGGCTGGACCGGAGCCTCTAGGCTATCAACCCTCGCAGGGGACGGGGGTAGGGGACGGGGCAGGGTGCGGAGGGTTCATTTAGTGGATATATATATATATAGGTGGAATTCATATGCGTCATGGAGTCTGGGATGTTTTTCATGGGGAATGTTCTAGAAGTGAGAAATATAGGCTAGTCGGCTAGTCTATATAGTCCACATATGTGTGTCCTGGAGTCCTGATGGTCCTTGCTGTGGAGTTTCTATATGTAATTCGAACAGTTGTCAAAACCACATACTTCTTGGATCTTCTTGGCTTTTGCGCGTTGAAGAGATTCTTTACTGCGATGTCCTTTCTATGTAACGGTAAACAAGTACCTGTCCTCTGCATGTGAACATGGAAACATGGCATAGTTCCTGTGAGTGTCAAGCATAGGCCAGCAAGTGAGCAGTATGAGCGAGTATGAGGAGGGTTCCCTCTGCTTACCCTCCTCCTAATTTGCATCAATCGTGGTTCAGTTCATGGCGAACGCGCCTGAAGATCCCCTGTTCTGCATGTAAACCTGCACGTGACTGGATGAAGTCCCTTTCAGAGGGTCCCTCTTGGTTCCAACGGCTGGAGGGCTCTGAACTGCAGGAATCCATGTTCGCTCCTGAGAATCTTTAAAATGATCTTCACCGCAGCACTTCAGCGCACATAGACCTCGGACACGTGGGCTTGTCGCGGTCCAGTGGTGGCCGTGGTCTGCGGAGGGCTGGATGTACCGCTGTTCTTCGATCTCCAGGGAAGTGGATCAGCCAAGAGTCACCGGAGCTGGACGCTCAGTTCGGTGTCTCATCAAGCGGCTGGACATGGTGTTTCATGCTAGTGGCGAGTGCGTGACTGAGGGAAAAGCACATGGCATCATTGGAGTGTCGACGGAAGTATTCCTTTCTGGTTCCATCCATCCTTCGAGGTGACAAATGGTCCTGGCGATTGAAGAGAGATCCTGAACAAAAACAACTGAAGTGCCTTGTAAACCTGTCTGTTGGCCGCGAAAGTTGCATCGCAGCAATGAGATCCATGCTCTAATGAGGTTACCTACGGTTACCTAGAGGTTTGACCTGCAAATGCACTCTCCCAGGATATTTGTTTCATTTTGTTTCGATGCTTCTGTGGAAAATTTTGACTCTGGAGGTGTATCTAGTTTTCAAAAGACCTCGGCAAGGGCACCTAATCCGGACAAGTACCCCTAATATCCCCTAATAGCCATGGCCTACAAGATCCTACAAGTAATAGCGGTGGCCTCCATCCGAATAGCGATCACCTCAACCTACTAGCGATGGCCTCCCACCTATACGTCAACAAAAAGGATCTGGGGCCGCAAAGTCGGCGCCCTGGGAGTCGGTAAAGCTCTCGGATGCCCTGCCAAAGCCAATGATGAGCTTCAATCCACTCGGCAGCGACCTGCTGTCTTCGGTCCGCCGAACCGCTTTCGCGTCCGGACTGACGTCGTGGTACCTGGACGGAAGTGGATGGTGCATGGCCAAGGCCCAAGGCCCCGATAGATCTCATCTAGAGGTCAAGGTGGCTCGCCCCAACGAAAGCACATGGGCTTTCAAAAAGCCGGTTTGCTCTTATACACTTGACGCAATGTAGACGTGCCCTCGTAAAACGGCAAGCGGACGTCTAGGAGCTCAGGACCCATTCGTGGGCTTGATGCCAGCTGAGAACTCAGCCCACTTATCTATAGTCATCTAGTCCTTTGGAGGCTGAAATGGACCCGGCCGTCAGCCGTCACGACCGTTTCTAACACCAACTCACTCTAGAGGCCACCTGCAACAGTGGCATGACCTGGTGTAATCCGCTAGACCAGGGCTCACATCCTCTCAGTCGAACAATCTTTTTCTGAAAGGGGAGAACCTAACCGGTCAACCCGTCCTAAAAACTCAGAACGAGTCCCTCAACCCCGATCTCTTCATCCGGTCCTGCTACGGTCTGCTGGATGATATGGCGAGGGAAGAAGCAAATGGTCCTGTGCTGCTTCCATGGTCTTCCCAGACGCTGCACTCAAACATATCCCAAGCTATCCGGAGCAAGACCGTTCAGTCTAGTCAATCCGTTTTCAGTCTCAGTCTGCAAAAAAGGATAGCATGCACCCTCGCTGTGAAGCAACAAACTGTGGAAACACTCTGCAGTGGTGGAGTACCTACGGCAAGAAACATGGCCAGTCATCCATGGCCAGTCTTCTCTTCATCAGGCTTCACCAACAAAGATCTTCACTGAAACCGAACAGTTGTTGCTCAAAGAGTACTTCGCCGCATCGCAAAAGGACTTCTTTTTCTGGCTCAGCGCAAAGCAAAATAGGTCACGGTGCGTTGGTGTGCGTAAGTCTGCTGGCCGATCGAGTGCGTAAGTCGCGCGGAGCAGTTGGTTCACCGATTTGAGTTCCTTCATAGTTGGATGTTGCGATGATGTTGCTCGTGGGAGTTTTCATGTGCGTTGCTTGTGCGGCTTTCAATTTATTAGGTTCGTATCCGCCCGTTTCAAGTGGAAGTGCTTCACTCGCTGTGCTGGGTATGAAAATATGCTTATTTCAGGGCCCAGAATAGAACTTGAGTGTTCAAGCGGCAAGCATGTGGGCAAGTTAGCTAGACTCTGCCACGAAGCACACACTTGAGAATGCCACTACCAAAAACCATGAAAAACCATGAAAACTATATCACCTACATAACCACCTACATGCTCACCCACGGATCACAAACTTCTGTTCTTCGGTCAAAGCCCTGGTTCCCGGTGACCCTCACGTCACGGCGATCACGCGTTCACGTCGCGGCAACCGTAGACCATGTAGAGCTCCTGCCGCGTCCAGGTCCCACTAGTGTACAAGGAGTGTAACTTTCCCTCATCTCATGTCGTTTTGGCCATCATCGGAGACCTTGAGGCACTCTATATATATATATGTATGTATGTATATGTATATGTATTGGTTTGATGTTGTTTTGGCATTCAACATCCCTGAACAAGGTGAGACTTACCCAAATGACGCGGCGATTCGCAGCAGCGTGTGGCTCGTGGCTCGTTTCAGGTTCGATTCTGCTTGCGACTCCATCGGCGGGGGACAACATATTCCGAAGACCTCAGGACCCTCAAACATTTGAAGATCAGTTTCCGCCCAGATCTGCCCCCTTGCTCAGTTGGTTTGTTTGGTTCATCCACTGCCCAGGCCTCCACATCTTGTGCTCCTGCGCCTGTCAGTTCTTTCAAACCGATAATGATCCGAGGGGCACCAGAGGGGATTCTGAGAATCAACTTGTCCCTCTTCGAACAAGAACACAAAACAAAGCTGCAAACACAGTTGTGTGGGACTCTTGAAGGTCCTGGCTTCTCCGTAGAGCATAGACTGTCAAAACTACAGTGCTGTCCAATGCCTGCATGCGTCCATTCAAGAGGACCAGCACCAGGTGAGGAAAATGCCCAGCAAAATGTTGCGAGTCACTCTTTCACAACGCATAGACTCTATTTGACTGATCCCGTTGATCCTTTTGATCCAATACTTCATGGGATGTTCTATGTGGGTGGTATGCCGGGCAGCTTCCCGGATGCAGCTTATTTGTTGTTTCTTTATTGAGGTTCGTATCGACACTGACCTGTAGGCCCCAACACTCACGACAAAAACAGGGTCACTGCGCCCCTGTTTTTGGCCGTGCGTTTGTGTCTGTTTTTTTCAACGTGTGCCTTGCTTGCAAGTGTTTATTTTCCCATGTTTGTGACGTTTTTGGACCGAGAGTGTTGTTTGTGTTTGGGAGGAGGTGAAAGTTCTGAAAGGGTTGCTCGGAATGTCCGTTTTTAGATGTTTCCCTGCAGTTTTGAACACATTCGGACACACAGGTTTTTCCGTAAAAGTTGACTTAGGACTTGTTTGACGTTTCGGGTCTGCGCGTGCACGAAGCGAACAAAACAGGACCTTCACCTCTCAGTCCAAGGGTACTTTCGCAACCTCCCCATCGGCGTAGCATCAAGTATGTAAGTACAAGTGACGTCAATAGTGCGTACGCAACATCAAAGCCACGAAAGCTAAACACATGCAGTTGACGCATGGCCCCCTTTGGGGCGCGGCACGAAAAAGATCTCAGGTCAGAGAATGTCTCAAGTCTCAGCTATCTCTTTGGCGAGGACCTGTTGCGTCTGGCTCTTGACATTTACGGTGTAAATTTGGTCCAACACCCTGAAACACACACTGAAAGCCGGGTTTTGGGATGTGGCATTTTACAACCCAAGGCTGCAAACTGAAGACTGGCCAAGGCTGGGCTGGGAACCTCTTAGAACCCCTGCTGGGCTGCTTGAAGTGCTCCAACTCCAAACCATGTTGCTGGCAAAGCCTCAGCGGATCGAACCATCGAACCCGGATCCAGCGGAATCCAGTTCCGATCGCTGTCATGTTCTTAGGGGGATCCAAATATGAATCCATGACATGTCCATGATCCATTAACATTGAGAGTCAGGAAGACAGCCAAAGAATTGTTTAGTTGATGATATATTTATGTGTTGTTGTCTTTTTTAGTTTTCTTGTGGTTGTTTTTTGTTCTTGTTTTTTTAAATAGAAACTAATTGGTCCTCAATTTTTGGAGATTCAACTGTTATGATTGTTTATGTGTTTTATTTTTTATACTGATTATTTTTATTCTTATTTATGTTGTATTACATTTTGTTTTGTGGATGCAACAAATCAGAATAATCACACCAAGTTCATAACATTTTCATACAGTTGTCATGCAATTTTCATGAACAATTCAAAACATGTATGATGTTTAAGTAATTAGTTGAGTCTATGAACAAACAATATATCTATCACATGTTTTCAAAAACATGTAAACAAATCATACAATTAAAACAAATACTGTAAACAATATTTGTTGGTTCATAAACGCTGTTCATAATGTTCATTAAAACAACATCATGTTGAACACGTTTGAAGACCATATATTCTAGCCTTAACGTCGCCCATCAGCATGGGTGAGTCTGATATCTACATCAAAATACTGTGCAAGAAGCTTTGTGGAGGAGATCACTGTCACAGTTCAACCGTTCGTTCTTTTTGGCTCTTGTCCAAGGTAATGTTGGATCCTGATTAGTAAATGGTACCTCTATAATGCTAAATTTTTCCAAATTTATTCAGACCCCCCTGTTTGAAAAATGGTACCTCTATAATGCTAATTTTTTTGGGGCCCTAAATTTTTAAATTGGAAAACGAATTAATAGGGGTTTGAATTCCTTCTGAGGCCAATGATTATGATTCATTAAATTAGCTGATATAGCTTTCTCTAGGTTTCTTCAAAACTGACAGCTGACCAAAACCACCAATTCCCCAATTAAACCCTTTATAAAACATTGCTCCTAAACAAATTTTCAAGGTAGTAGACCAGGAAGGCACCTGATCCTCAAT